CTGCTCCTTGGAGGTAAGGATTCTGAGGCATCATCTGACATACTTTGGGCACAAGGCCAGGAGGGATCTGTCCTTGGAGAGGGACATCAAGCTTGGAAGGGTGGAGGGACAGAGCAAGAGAAAAAGACCCTCAATGAGATGTATTGATTCAGTGACTTCAGTGACTGGGGTAATGAGGATAGGTGTGTCGGAGACAATAAGGTTAACACAGGATAGAGCAGGTTTCAGGGCCATTATACAAAGAGTCTCTATGAGTCGCAAGAGACTTGACGGCACAAAACAACAACAACATCATCTCTTGTTTAGTACATAGGACTGCTTACTTTCTTTCCCCCTAAAGACTCTCATTTTGTGTTCTTGAAACGACTCCCATTCGTTTCACACGTTACAGTCTTTAAACAGGGTACTTTTCTGGTCTATGTGGTATGGAGCTGTGTTTCCAACCCAAAAGTAGATGGTTTAAATCCATCCATCCATATCTCTTTTTCTCTCACTCTCTGTTTCTAGGGATCTGTATTTTTAAAAAATTATTGGAAGCAGGAGTGGCACCCAGTGCCTAAATAACATGCCTCCGGGAACTCTATGAACTTTGATAAATGTTGATGCTTGTAGAGGGGCTTCAAGTCTTTTGTTCATATGGTCGCTATGAGTCGTACTCGACCCGAAGGCAATAAACAACAACCACCACCCACTCTGAACCCACTGAATAGAATTAGTACACTGAGGAGTATTAACTGAGGCAGGTATCCAGCAATGTCTTATTTCATGCAGCCCAGTGGATCCCACCTCTCCTGTGTAACCTGATAAGCAGTGGCCTGTTGCCAACGGAAGCCTAAGGACCTCCGGGCCAGCAGGCGCCGCACTCGCACCACCCCACCGTCCGTCTCCATTTCCAGAAGGGCCGTTCTGTCTGCTCTTCACTCGACATTCTTTCGCTTCCGGTGTCACCTACAGACATGGCGACTGCCGCTTCTGCCGCTGGCCCCGGGGCGCCGATGTCACCGGACGACTTGCTCCCGAAAGGTGACGCCGAGAAGACCGAAGAGGAGCTGGAAGAGGACGACGACGACGAGGTACTCGGGCCCCACGAGCCTTTGGGGCGGGAACGAGGGCGTCTGGCCGGAGCGGGTCTGCGGGGGAGTGGGCTTCGCGTGCTGCGGGATCGCGGCGAAGGTGCGCTGCTGAGCCGGGGAGGTCAGAGGGAGGCCGCTTGTGCGGGGCCCAGCGGTGGTGCTTCGACCGAGACCCGCGCTTCCTTCACAGCTAGATGAGACTCTGTCGGAGAGACTATGGGGACTGACGGAGATGTTCCCGGAGAGAGTCCGCTCTGCGGCTGGAGCCACGTTTGATCTCTCACTCTTTGTGGCTCAAAAGATGTACAGGTAAGGGGTGAAAGTAAACACGCTGGGGTGTGCATGGGCTGACTGGCGCTGGGGGACTGCACGGGCTTTGGCGGCCAAAAGAGCTTGGTTCGAGGCCAGTCGGCTACCTGGATCACCGAGTGACCTTGAACTAGTGGCAAGTTAATCTTCATTTCCTCTCGTAAACAGTGAGGATTCTTATTTGACAGGTGATTGTTTAATCATATCAGATAATCTGCATTCATTAATCCTTGGTGGTTTAGTGGTAAGGAATTGGGCTGCCACCCCAAGGCTCTCGGTTCGAATCTACCAGTGACTTGTCGGAAGAAAGCTGGGCAGCCACCTGCCGTGCAGTTTACTGCCTCCGAAAACCACTGGAGAGTCATCTGTGGGTTGGTTCCGGCCCAGCAGTACACAATAGCTACATAAAAGAACACAGGAGAATGTGGACACTTAGGGTTCTGGCAGGGGTGTGGTGCAAACGGTGGCCAGGATGTGAGAGACTTGGCTACCCAGCTTCCTGTTTCTCCCTCTTGCCACCCTCCTCTGCAGGTTTTCCAGGGCAGCCTTGTGGATTGGAACCACTTCCTTTATGATCCTTGTTCTTCCTGTTGTCTTTGAGACAGAGAAATTGCAGATGGAACAGCAGCAGCAAATGCAACAGAGGCAGGTGAGCACATGGCCTGGCTTGTTGCCCAAGGTGGAGATAAACTGTTTTCTCCAGCGCCTAAGTAGTGTGTTGAGTTAGGGTTGGGATCAAGTCCCTCTATTTTTTATCTATTGTCCTTGTGTACGGTTGAGTCAGATCTGACACAGGAGATTGCCCCTCCTTCTCCAGTGGAGCATCTAGTGGATTTGAACCACGCACCTTCGGAATTGCAGCACAGGTTCTTACTACAAGGCCACCGGAGCTCCTTCATGCTTTTTAAGTACCTGCCTATGCTCTTAAGGAGTTTCTGGAAACCTGATTTGCCCTGTCCTGTTATGGCACCACTTAGGAATCATCCACTGCAGCTCCGAGAGACGGGCAGCCCCCTTCCAAACAGTGTAGTATTAGCTGGGAAACTGTGGAAGAGTCAGCTGAGTTGGTTCGCACTGGGCAACAGTGAGTTTATGTGAGGCATATCCAATCCCCTTTTCTCTTACAGATACTTCTCGGGCCCAACACTGGGCTGTCAGGAGGAATGCCAGGGGCCCTACCATCACTTCCTGGAAAGATCTAGATTGTTACTGCTGAAATCTGAGCTGTCTTGGATGAAGTCTGAAATGTAATAGTGTTTGAAATGCTGATCCCCTCCCCCCCCAACCTTGGCACATTGATTTATCTAAACCTGATGGGGACAATTTCTTCCTTGAGACTCCCAGTATCCAAATGTGCCCTTTACTTTGCCCTGACTGACTTCTGTCTTCACTCCCACATCCGAGTGTGGTAAAGCAAACGGTTATTTGCCGTCCTCCACCCCCGCTATGTTGCTCTTGGTTATTCTGCAAGACCCCCCTCACGCACCCACTGTGGGATAGGAACCAGTGGGGATGAACCCAAGAGTTAATGATTGGGTTCTTAAAGAATGGGCGAGGTGGGGAGGTCCACGCACACAGTATGACAAAGCGCATCGTGGCTGTGAGGCAGCCGCGTGCGCCCCCGGGTGTTGGAGGGAGAAGGGTCCGCACTGCGCCTCCACAGGTGGAACCTGGAGGACAGCAGCAGTTCCTCTCTGAATTCTGGCTGTCCGACCTCTGTGTACATGAGAAAACAAGTCAGTGCTCATTTTTTTCTATTTAAATATTAAAAACTTACAACTCAAAGTGTCATCCATGTCTTTCTAATACATACGCCCATGTTGGTTGGTCTGGCTGCCACATTTACACGCAGGACATCTTAGGAGGATAAGAGTTTCACTGCTTGTTTCTTCTCACGCAAGCCAGCCCCACCACCTTAAGATGACTGGCCCTAGAGGCCCAAAGTAAATATTCTACAGTAAACCTCTTAACACTTGGTTCCGAGTTCAGCTAATCATCGTAACATAGATCCATGGACTGAGTGACAGTGCAACACAAACTTGGGGATGAGAACACAATTCCCAAGGGGCAGAGGCAATAAGACTGCTGTAAAATTTTGCGTGACCTAGTTTACTAAAAGTCACTGCTAGGGGAGCCCCTTGTAAATCCAACTGCTTTGTCATCTGTTTTAACAAATCAGCACACTGAACACTGCTAGGAATAAATGATCCTCTGGCAGGTTTTTAGAGGCAGTTAATCATCCAGGAGATTGCTCATCCTACGTGCACAGAGCAGTTGATGGATTTGAACCACATGTCTTCAGGATTATAGCACAGCTTACCATTAAGAACTCCCTGCCATGAATACTAAATTTTTTTTCGTGGCTTATCAGGAAAATATCCTTTAGGAAGTTACAGGTAAAAGTAAGGTATAGGCTCTTGGTGCATCGCTAGCCCAAAAGCTCTCTGGATTCAAACCCAGAGCAGTTCCTTGGGAGAAAGATGGGCAATCTGATTTATAGCCTCCACTGGTGGAGGGTCAGTGGCTGTGACAGTGTGATTCTTATTTTAAAGATGAGGGAATAGTCACAGCAAAGGTTTAAGTAGCTGGCATAAAACTACACCTGCTAACATGGTAGTCCAACCTTAGAACTGTAATAGACCCTGGGTTCTGGGACAGTCCAGGCCCTCTGTTCAGATAACTGGTCCAGTCACTTTGTAGATGAGGGTTTTTATAAACAGATCCCTCTTGTATAAAAAAATGGAAAAATGTCTCAGGGGGTTCTTTAGATCCAAAGCAAGCCTTGTATCTGGACTCTGGTGAGGTCTGACCCAGGTCTCCAAGATGACTGAGGGCTGTGCTTCAGAGCAGCACCACACTAAACATTTCTTCACATACTTTTGCAGACAATAAAGGAGATTTATGTATGTTTTAATTTTTAATGTTTGGTTAAACAAAATAACATCTTTTGTAAACAAACCCAGCACAAGGCCAACAACAAAAAGGAGGAATAAAAAGCAAGAAAAACAAAAAGCCTAGGGTTGCCCCTTCTTGGGCATCAGGGTCAGGTCTGCTCCCTTCCTTACAGGAAGTGGGGCTTCTTGCCCTTGGGTGTCAGCATGGGTCCCTGTCCTAAGCACCAGAATTGGATATGAACAGAGAAAGCAGCCCTGAAATGTTTAAGCATCTTGAAGTCCGCTGGCTCTGAGGGCTGGGGCTCCTCTGAGTGTTTACACAGGCCCACGCAGATCGCTGGAGAGGACACTTCCTCGTCCAAGAAATGGCTTCCTATCAAGACAGTGCCAGGGGACCCGAAGTCCTGCTTGTGACAGTCAGCAAGGCAGGCTGTAACTTCTGGCTGGTGCTGGCTGGAATGTCATTGTGCAGGGGGGGAGGGGGGGGTAAAGAGCTCCCTGCTGTGCCAAGCAGGTCTGGTGTAGAAAAGGGTCCAGAAGAGACTGCGGCCAGTTACAGGGAGGACAGGATGCAGGAGCCGCCTAGGGGCTTCTGGTAATCAGCATAAAAAACGGCCTCAGTGGATTGAAGAGAACGTGTGCAGAAAGTGCTGGTGTAAACATGCGCTCTGGTCCCAGAGGGGAGGAAGCCTCAGCTGTGTCCACCATGCTTGCTCAAGCTTGACGTGTACGCCCCAGGACAGCCCTGCTGCTGAGAAGGAATCTGGCAGTGGGGCAGCCCCCAGACCAGGCAAGACCACGGATCTGTGAGGACTGAACAGGTCCTCCCTGCCCGAGGCAACCACACCACTGGTGACACAATGCAGTGTGATACTTGTTTCCCCTCGTTTTCCAAAGGTACAGGAAAAGTGGCCTAAAATTTAGAGAGGTAGGGGTAGGTGAATTCTCAGATCTGTAAAGGAAACTCCAGAAAGATGACAGGCCAGGCCCTGGTCCTCTAACACACACCGACTTCCAGCTTGAGAGCTCTGCTCTGCATGATGCTGCAGTGGTTAGCCTGAGCTCAAAGATTCCACCACTTCTGGCTGCTTTTAAACCCAGAAAGGTGACCTTCACAAGACTGTCCTGCAACTCTGCCCAAAGGTGGCATCTGCTCTCAAAGGCAGACACGGGCATTTTCTGGTTTGGTCAAGTGGATACACTGCTCTTAGGCCTTCTTTTCTACCTTCATAGCCAATGTAGTGAAACGGAACAAAACCAGAGCAAGCTATTGGACATGAGCCACCCAGGCCTGCCAGTCTGACTTTAGCTGTGTCCACATAGCTGTGTCTCACCCCATAAGACAAGGATATTGCTGAATTCAATCACCTGGCTTAGAATTAATACTCTAAATTCTCATCTTAAATCTCCAAGTATGGCCATAAACCACTCCCAAGCATGAAGTCCCACGAAGGGATGAAAAGGTAGAGGTGGCATTAAGGGTTGAAGACGGCATGCTGTACTGTACTACTGTTTTAGAGACGGTTTCCTGAGAAACCCCACACTCCAGATCCTTCTAGTTGGTCACATGGCTTTTCCAAGTTCTGTGTCTTTAGACCCCCTGCTTGGCCAGGAAAGGACAAATGGAGGCACCATCTCCCTTGGAGCTGGCTCCATTCCAGGTGAGGCTGAAACAGCAATGATCGATCAACCCCAGCAGAACCTGGCAGGTCCTCACCGGGGAGGGAGGGACGGGATGGCAGGGACATACACATAAGCCAGACACCACCTTTGCCTTAATACCAAGGGTCTTTGCTGCTTTGCCCTAAGCACAGAGCTCCTGCCTTCCTTTCCCAGCACAAAAAAACGCTGGTGGTTCTAAACAGTCCACATGTCTGTACTATTGCACTGTCAACTCTGAGAGGGGAAACTCGCTGAGCTGTTTGGGGAAATGGCAAGGGCAGACCCACTGTGCAGGCCACAGCACATCACAGAGGCTTCAGGGGTGAGGTGAGGGGAAGGGTGGGCAGAACTGTCACACATCAGCCCTCCAGCTCTGATGGGCCTCCACCTCTTCTGGTACCACCAGCAGGAGTTCACAGTTCTTTCCTCGTAAGTGATGTTTTAGAAATTTCCTATAGGGGAAAAATGTAGATGAAATGCTGGTGAAATTGCAGATTCTAAGCTGGGGTTTACTTGTTCACTGAAACATTATACCATTCACAGTACTCCTATAAAGACCCTAGCAGTTCATCTCCTCTGGGTGGGGGTCTGCACTGGGGTTAACCTTCAATCTGTTGAGTTAGATTTCCAATGCCCTGTTTCACTAACAGTAACAGGTTCTGTAAAGACTAGTGTCCAAAGTACTCTAAAGTGAAGGACTCCTAATTGTTTTTAAAAAGTTTCCTCTTTGGTCACAGGGAAACTTAGGCTGGCCTGAATATTTATGTCTTTAAACTGGCCGGCAATCATCTTGATGCCCCTGTTTAAGTGTGGAGAATATTACAATGATGGTCCCACCAAACCCTCCCAGCAAAGGGACTGAAGGTCCTGAGAACACTGAAGATTACAGTCTAGGCAAGGCAGGGAGAAGGTCTAAGGAGATGGCATTTCCTGGGCCTCTCTTTGATCAAATAACCAAAGATGAGCTCAGCATCCCCAGAACATAAAAATGAAGACACCAGCACTTTAGCATGATAGGCAGACTACCTGAGCTCGCTCTCGCCTCCAATCCACTCAGGCGTCTTGAGTTTGGAGTCGAGGTTGTAGTAGGCACCTCCTACCTCTCGAACGCAGATCCAGTGCTGCCTTTTGAGAGGCAACTTCAAGGGACCCCAGCATAGGCTGGAGGGTAGATTCATGATGAAGCCCATGACGTTAGTGAGAGCAATGACACCCACGTCCCTGCAAAAGAATGGGTTTAGGCTCTCAGCTGTCCACTGCCCAAGATTCCCTTGCTGTACCACTACAGCCACTCAGGCCCCAGTTCCAGTACCACGGGCTTGTACCACAACCATGCTGCTCTGTCAAGGAAAGTCTGCTTTGAATTACCTGCGCTTGTCCCACCAAACAGCTTCATAGCCTTTGGTCTGAAGTGCCGCCATGATGACATTCACGTCATAGTTTCCATTTCCCAGCATGCTCTTTTTGTGAGGTGTCACCATGGTGTTAGGAGACAACCTGAAAATATGAAGAGAGAGAAGACTCACCTTGTTGATCTACCTAAGCGCCTTTCTCCTCATCTGGGCACCACTTCTCCAGTTGTTACCCAAGTAGTGAGTGACTCCAGCCATCTGTGGAATTACCTCTCCTTTTACGCAGAAAACCCAACTGCAGGTAGATTCACCCGCCTGCCATTTAGTGCCTCTCTAGGGTGGTCAATGGACACAGCAAGCGTCGGAGAGGAGTCTCCTCGTAAAATCCCAGCTTACCCCTTTTCCCTAGTCAACTGCCTCATTGCCAAGCCTCCTCCTTTGACAACTTCTTTGTTAAGACCAGGAAACAGTACTTCTTATCCCTACTTGCATGTGCTACTCCTGGTTTTCAGAGTTTAAGTACTTTCTATTTCAGACTTGCATGATCATTAATTATTAAATATTCAAAGGTCTAAAGGGGCCTGAGGCAGGTAACATAAATGCATGAAATGGGCCAGAGTAAGACATAAAAGACAGGTGCGTAGAGAAACTATGGTGTTACAGAATGGAATACTATGCAACACTGAAAAACAATGAAGAATTTGTGAAACCCTGCATAGTAAGGGTGAGTTTAGAAGGCATTTTGCTGAGTGAAATATGTCAGTCCCAAAAGGCCAAATAATGTGCAAGACACTATTATAAAAAGCCAAAGAAAGTTTTTCATGGAGGGAATCATTCCAGTGTGGTCGCCAAGGAGGGGAAGGAAGAGGGGAGGAACAACTAACTGATACCAAATGAGTGAAGGAAAGGACAAGAGAAATGAATGGATGATCAGACACTTGGTAACTGTAATGAAACAAAATCTGCATGGCTGACAGAACAATATGCTATGTCAACTTTCACAATTTAAAAAATATGGGGGGGGGGGGGAAAGGCGAAAATGCATGTACAGGCAGGTGTGTGTGACTAGCTGTGTGGAGTATGTAAAGACAATGACTTACAATGAAACACAGATACAACATATAACATCTCCTGGGAAGAAAAAGCTGCCCAAAAAAAGTTCAAGAGCAGTCCTGCTTTGCCTCTCTAGCTTGTGGCCACTTTGCCAAGTTTCTGTATCTCAAGACAAGGTCAGTACTGGGGCACTTCCCACCCTGTGACCTGTTCTCATGGGCCTAGCAGGCCAGTCCCTAAGAAAAGGCCATTATGAAGGAAGACGGGCCAGCATGCTTTCACATGCTGGGAGGAAGGGAGAGATGATAAATTCCTTCTGAAATAAAAGTGGAGGGCAGATGCCCAGGAAGTACTACATGCCATCTCCACAGAGAATAGAGACTTCAAGCTAGAGATGTTGCTATTGAATGCCTTCAAGTCAAGCATGACTCATAGCGACCCTATGAACAATAACAAGCTAAGGATAGAAAGCCTTAAAATCTTAAGAAATCTGATAAAGAAAAAAAAAAAACCAACAAAACCCACACTTCTCTACGCTTAGCCACCAATGTAATGCTACTTTCACACACACAGAACACACTCCTGCTCTGCTCACAGCCCTCCATCGGCTCCTTACGCACACGCTTCACTAGAACAGAAACTCCTCTGCCCAGCGGCGGCGGCGGAGGCTCTCAGGAGCCTGCTGACTCACCTCTCACCTCTTACCTCGCTGAGTTTCTGGAACACAAAGCTCACTCTCCTGTAGGGGCTTCAGTTCTCCGTAGCTGTTCCTGCCGCCCAGAAGGCTCGCTCTCTACATCTTCACTTGGTTTGTTCCTTATTATGAGGTACTGCCTTATACGAGTCTTTCCTGACCAGCCAACCTGAGTTTTCCCCCAGCCATTTTATTACCGCAACTTGTTTTAACTTAATTACAGGCCCTGTCACTGGCAGACATGTCAGTGTCTGTTTTCCCACAGTGGAACCCTAAGCAGGGGCCCTGTCTACCCTGTTGACACGGCATCACCAGACTACATGCCTGGGACGTGATGAGTGCTGAGAAAGGCCGTGCTGCCAGCCCCTGAAAACTTTCTGGTCACATCGGCTGGTAGATGTCCACTCTATGAGTGCAGGAATGATTAAAAACGTAAAAACTGAGGTTTAGTGATGGGAAATAACTTGCCCTTAGTCCTGTACCTTACACATGACAGGAGGAGAATTTAGCTTATGGCCGCAACTGTGCTTGCTGCCTGAGGCAAGGCCCCAGGAACACAGCTGTGGTGATGGCAGTGGTGACAGAGATAAGGCTGCAAACAACAGTGGCCCTGGGGTGACCAACAGAAGCTTCACATGACAAAGCAACTCAGTGGTTCTTGGTCACATGGATTAAACGGGAAAGCACATGAATAAAAAGTCCATTCAACATCTACCAAGTTTTTTTTCCTCTCCAACAAGTTTTCAGTGGGTTCCCACACTCTCAGTGAAGCTTTTACCAATGTGCACAAAGGCTCCACAATGTCACTCCTCCTACCGGCCTAACCTGGGGCAGCAAGTCCTCCAGGATGGTCCTCAGAGACCAACCCCGTGTTACCACGGTTACAGAAGGCGTTAATGCCATGGCAACAGGAATGAAACAAGGAAAATGAGTTCCGGGAGCACCTAATAGACTAATGCACCATATGCTTCAGTTTCCACACATACTTGACCGCAAATGTGTTTTCGAGGGGTACCTTACAGATTAAGGGGGCTTAATGGCACTGTGCACTAAGTGAGACAAGTCCAGGTCGCAACGCCCGTGGGGCTGTCCTCTGTTCTGCAGGGTTGCTGTGAGCCAGAACAGATTCAAAGGTCGGTGGTGCTCCAAGGATTTCTCCTCCCCGTCTTCCACCTCAGATTCAAGGCCTTTCCTGTCTATTCCCGCTACCTTTGCCCATCTAAAAGTCATTCATCGGACACCTTGTGTGCCATCAGGTTGGAACCAACCCACAGCTGACCCTCCAGCAGGTTTTCAGACAGTAAATCGCACAAGGGGAGACTAACCATCCTTCTCCTGCGGAGCAACTGGTGGATTCGAACTTGCGCCTCTGGAATTACAGCTCACTTACGATTAGGCCACCAGAGTTTCTAACATCTGGACTTTTGAAATAGGTTCCTCTTAAGAAATCTTGCTTCCAAATTCTTGTTCCACAAATTCAACCTATATGTTCCTGCCACATTCAACTTCCCCATCACCTAGGCCTCATTGTGTAGGTAGTGAAGCTGCAGTTCAATGTCTGGTGGCAAGGCTCCAAGTCACTCTGCCCGCATGGCCTGCTAGTTCTCCTGTCGCGGGGCCAGACTTTTCTTCTCTGGTGCAATTTCCTGAGCCAAGCCAAATCCACAGCTTCTTCCAGCTCAGCTCACTCTATTCCGTCTACGGAATCTTTCCTGGCTCCTCTGTGCAACAGAAAAAGCAGGAAGCTCTGGAAGACCACACAGGTCTGAATTCCAATTCAAGCACCACCAAATACTAATCGTCAGACGTGAGTGCTATGCTGCTTCCTTTTCTATGAAAAGGAGAATGATTCCTTCCTTAGAGGGCTAGTGAAGGACTCAATTATATCAAACTAATCCAAACAGTAAAGCCCCAAAGCAAACAGTGATGCCCTCATAGCCAGGCATTTCATAAGCATGCGCTAATCAAACTTGGTATTTTATGATGGGGGTGGGGAGAAGAAACCCCAACTGAGAATAGCTCCATTCATCTCTTTCAAAGAGGTGGTTTTTGCACACCCATGTTTATCACGGCGGCTTTGATAGCAAGGAGTTGGAAACAACCTAAGTGCCCATCAACAAACAAATGAATAGAGAAGCTGTGGTATATTCACACAAAGGAATACTACGCTACATTGAAAAACAAGGAACTCATGAAATATTATTCAAAATGGGTGACCCTGGAGGACATTATGCTGAGTGAAGTATCTCTGTCACAAAAGGATAAATACTGCATGGTGCCACTGTTGTGTAACAGGACTGACATCGGTGTTGGGGGGAGACTGAGAAAGATGGGATAAATAATGTATACTGTATTGAAACAGATGAGGGAGAGAACTGTTTAAAAGGGATATGGGTGCCACACCCGCCTCACTGTCCTCTCTGGCCACGACGCCTGTGTGACAAAATGGGTCGTCCGCCTGTGTGACAAAATGGGTCGTCCGTGCCTGTACGGGGTCTCTGACCTCAAGGATAGCATAAGAGGGAACCTTGCAAGCCCTGTGCTTGTGAGTGGGCTGATGCCTGGATATTTGTTACAGATGAGTCTTCGTAATCCTGAGAAACCTCTGGAAATTAAGTTGCTTCTAGGATAAGAATGGGAGTTTCTGGGGGATAATGAGGGGAACTTCACCAGAACTGGGATAAAGATTTAATTAAAGTCTTTAATCAGGAACCATTTGATGTTCCTGGAAATGATAACAAACAAGCTGAAAATATAA